CGCGGCAGCAGGGACCCCTTGCTGCGCGTCTCTAGGGAACACTTGTCAGCTGTCTCCACGAATATTTTCCTCATTGCTCTGTGGAACTTCCGTCACCGCGTGGCACCCTCCTTTCCCGCTCAGCTGCTCTCCCGCCGCCCAGCCGTGTTCCGTCTTCCTTCTCCACGCGCCAGACGGCTCCTCCTCATGGGCCCCGCGCTCGGCCTTCCCCGCTGTCTACAGGCCTCCCCGGGGCAACGGGGCCGTCGGGGGGGCTAAACCCTCGCCCACTGGCACCCTGCTCTCGCTCCGCGCGCGCCCAGCGCTGCTGCCAAGGAGGCACACGGCACCGAGAACATTCCGGAGTGCCCACTTTGCCAGTCACCTTCAACCAGCCACGCGTGTGTCCAGCCGGCGGCGATCTTCCGAGCACCATGTGACGGCGAGTGTTTGATCCTAGAGCGCTGAGCGACTTGGAGCACAGATGGCGAAAAAAACATTTTGACCCGGTTTTGTTTTTGTTTTTTTTCCAACTGCTTCCAGGTGAGATGAGGCAGCCCCCAGTGTGGAGGATGGAGTGGGCTCTGGGGTGACACCGACTCACATTTGTGTCCCAGCTCCATGCATCTCCTCGTGGGGTCTTACGGGCTCCCTAAGTTCTAAGACCTCAGTTTCTTCATTTGTAAACTGAGATCACAAGCATCTATCACAGAGCTATTCCTTCATAACGCTTCTATTTGTTATCTATTAAGGCATAATAAATCAGCCCAAAATTTATTTTTTTTTAAATTTTTAATAAATGTTTATTTTTAAGACAGAGAGAGACAGAGCACGAGCAGGGGAGGGGCAGGGAGAGAGGGAGACACAGACTCTGAAGTGGGCTCCAGGCTCTGAGCTGTCAGCACAGAGCCCGATGTGGAGCTTGAACCCACAAACTGTGAGATCGTGACCTGAGCTGAAGTTGGACACTTAACCGACTGAGCCACCCAGGTGCCCCAATCAGCCCAAAATTTAGTGGCTTTAGACGGCAAAAGTTGTTCATGAGCACTCATGGGTTTTGTGGGTCAGGAATTTGCGAGTGGGGGTGCTGACTGAGAGTCTCTTGTGAGATTGCGGTCAGCTGCCGGCCTGAGCTGGGCTCCCTCTGAAGGCTTCTTCACTCACACGGCCGGTGCCTGGGCCAGGCCGACAAACAGCCGGAGCTGGAGCAGCCGGGGCTCCGTGGGTCTCTCCTCCATCCCCAGGGCTCCTCAGCACAGGGGTGTCTGGCACGGCCCCTTCAGGGTCCCCGGATTTCTTACGTGATGGATCAGGGGGTCCCAAGATACATGTCCTGAGAGAAAGAGGCATCAGCTTGACCAGCCCGGCCCCTACAGTCACACGGCATCACTTCCAGTGCCTTCTATTTGTTAGAAGCACACGCCACTACAGGGGCGCCTGGGAGGCTGTTGTATAAGTGTCTGACTCTTGGTTTCAGCTCAAGTCATGATCTCCAGGTTCATGATCTCGAGGTCCTGCATCGGGCTCTAAAGTCTACGGTCACAGTGCAGAGCCTGCTTGGGATTCTCTCTCTCCTCTCTCTCTGCCCCTCCCCTGCTCACATGCTCTGTTTCTCTCTCTCTCTCAAAAATAAATAAATGAACTTAAAAGGAAGCACATCACAGGGCGCCTGGGTGGCTCAGTCAGCTGAGCAACCGACTTCGGCTCAGGTCATGATCTCACAGTTCGTGGGTTCGAGCCCCGCATCAGGCTCTGTGCTGATGGCTAGCTCAGAGCCTGGGGCCTGTTTCAGATTCTGTGTCTCTCTCTGACCCTCCCCTGCTCACGCTGTCTCTCTCTCTCTCTCTCTGTCTCTCTCTCTCATAAATAAAACATTAAAAATAAAAAAAAAAAAAAGAAGCACATCACTACTGCCAGCCCATAATGAAGGGGAATGAATTAGACTCCTCCTTATTGGGAAGGGGTGTCGAGAATTTGTGGACATGCTTCATACTGTAGCACGTGGGATGTCTGATCTTCCACAAGCAGTGGGAACGGTTTTTATCTGACGGCTTAAAAAACAAAACAGAAAAATGTCTCTGCCCTAGCGCCTTGTCCTCACTCCGCAAACACATCCATCCTGCAAGGAGGTAAAGTACCGGTGACTTGTCCGGTTAGGTGAGAGTTAAAAGGAAGGATGAAAAGGAGACGCAGAAATAGAAATTGTTGACATGTATTGATCCCTTGCTCCCTGCCAAACCCGGGTTAAATGATTTATGGACATTATCTCTGCGAATCCTCAGGACAACCCCATAGGTTTCCATCATTAGCCTCTTCTATGGTAAGGAGGAGAGCTCTACAGTCCACCAATGTTGACTGAGATGTCCAGGTCCAGAAGGCTGGTAAAGGCGCAGCAGGAACGGGGCGCAGCTGGACTGAGCCCCGGGCCTGCGTGTCCAACGCTGCGTACACAGTGTCAGCTGAGATCATCAGCCAAGGGGCTTTAACTTAAGTGCTTCCTCCCTTGGTTGCTATAATTTGAGAAGCAAGGTATCTGAAGGAGCAGGTGGAATAGAATCTGAGAATTCCAGAGGTTCTTGGACCCAGAAGGAGAGAGGCCAGGCTGTTGCTGATGGAGAGAGGGCAGAGGATGCAGAGGCCGTGCACAGCCAGCCAGGGAGCAAGGGGCTGGCGCAGAGGCCCGCAGACACTTCCTAACAGGCGTGCGTGCCACCGTGCTGGGCTCTCACCAGGAGAAATTCAGGCGCTTCCTTACCTTTCCTCCACGATGTGGAAATCACCCCCTTTGAGTTGTCGGGTGTCCTGAAACTGTTCTGGGAAGTTGGACGGGAAGAGGCCATCAAAGAGGGATGGAGACCCGGGCCTCCTGGCCTGGCCCTTGGGGGATGTGCTAAGGAGATGGACCTCATTGTCCTGGGCCACAAGAGCTCGCCTGGCCGCACCCGGAAGTCCAGACCCGAAAAGTTCTCTCACGGTCAAGACCCCGTGTTCTGGAGCAGCACCTCCCGGGGCGAGGAGCCACCTTCCATCTGCACTGCGCCCCCTCCAGCAACCCCTACCTGGAGCTGAGCTCTGCTGCTAGGGGTCCAGGGCCCTGGCCCCAGGCTCCATTCCTGTCGTCTGAACTCTCTGTGGCTCGGTGGCCCCCAAAGCACTTTTTCCTTCCCACTGTGCTATGGCCTTCAAAGTGTCCCTTATTCAACCCCTTCAAAGTCAGCCATTCAGAAAATGTTTAGGAAGCACATAAACGCATGCCAGTCTTGGCTCTAGGCACCGGGGACCCGGCAGGGAATGAGAGAGGCCGAGTCCCGGGCTTCGATATTCTGGGGGCCTTCACAAAATGAGGGCTCAGACTCCCGACAAAGGAGCCTCCCGGGGTGGGGTGTGGTGGGGGGCATGCAGAAGAACTCACTCTCGTGCCCTCTCGTGTCTAATTGAAACTGCAGCCCGTCAGGGTTGATGACACACAGTGGGAGTGAGATGTTGTCCCTGGTGTTGAGCAATGGCTTGGGGCAAGTCGCTTGGCTCTCAGCTGCGATGACTCAACGCTTTCAGGAGTCACCTCTGCAACCTGGGAACTCACCTCCACAGACCTTATCTGAGGCAAGAATGTGGTCTGTGCTCGACTTCTGTCACCACCTGCCTAGATTTTCCAGGCTAAGCATAGAGGAAGAGAAAGTTGCCACATCTACCCAAAGTACTTCCTCTTGCTCTGCCCTCCTCCACGTTTGCAATGATAACAATAATAAACCTGTGAGCTGTCGCAAGTCCTGCCCGCATGCCTCCTTCTGGAAGTAGACGTCCCACCTGTTGGCATCATGTGGGGCATATTGTCAAGGTCAGGACAGTATTACTTCACGTTGGACATTCTCAGGGTCAGGGGAGCTAGATAATTTAACTGGTAAGGAGGTAGAATAGGAGTTTTTGTTTGTTTGTTTGTTTGTTTGTTTGTTTTTTTATTTCTAGGAGAGAGAGAGACAGCGTGAGCAGGGGAGGGTCAGAGAGGGAGGGAGTCACAGACTGAAACAGGCTCCAGGCTCTGAGCTGGCAGTCAGCACAGAGCCCGACGCGGGGCTCGAACCCACGAACCGCGAGATCATGACCTAAGCGAAAGTCGGACGCTTAACCGACTAAGCCACCCAGGCGCCCCTAGAATAGGAGTTTTACATGAAGAAAAATATAGTTGAGGAAATTGAATGAAAATTTCACAGGAATTTCAAAGTTAAAGAAGCAGGAAATCTGCGATGCAGCCGGCAGCTTTAGGCTTTGACCGTAATCTTATAGGAGATTGACTTTCCCTCCCCTCTCCTCAGCCCTACTTTGGGGGCTAGTGACAAAAGCTCTGATGTAAGGGCAACTGGGTGGCTCAGCCGGTTAAGCATCTGACTTTGCCTCAGGTCACAATCTCATGGTTCTCAAGTTCGAGCCCAGAGCTCTGACAGCACAGAGCCCACTTCGGACCCTCTGTACCCACTTCACCCCTCACTCTTAAAAATAAACACCTAGAAGCTCTGCTGTGAGACATATCTTCTGCGATGCCTTTGCTCCAGGAAGGGATACGTTGGGGCCAAGGAGGCAGCTTCATTCAGTCATTCACGGGCCTTTATAACAGCAAACCCAGCCAGACGTGGCCGTGAGAGACAGGGCGAAAGTATTCTCTCGTGCAGTAAGAGTTTCCAAAGCAGAGAAGTTCCAAAATAATGTAAATGAGCAGCTTACAAATGTCATCATGGACCCAGGTTCTTTCCATGTTCTCTCTCTATCATCATCAGCTTGTAGACATTTGCTCTCATGCCGTCCAGATGGTCATTACAGTTATGAGCATCATATACTCACTCACGCCAAGGACATGGGGAGGCATCCCTGTTAACAACAAGAAAGATTTCCTGACGGATCCCCTCCCCTAGCAGATGTCCCCTCACATTGGACGGAATTTCAGGCAAAAGGACTAGAAGTGTGGTGAATAGATTCCCCCACTGCCTGGGGTTAGGACAGGATCTGTCTTCTGAGAGTATGTCGACCCACCCCTGAACCCAGTCCTTTCCATCCGCAAGGCAGAGTGTGGCTCGTGGCTGCCAAGTGGGAGGCAGCCAGCGGTGCCAAGGACTCGGCACTCCTACCTCCCCTCAGCCCCGGCACAGATAGCCCTGTGGGAAAAGGAAGATGATTAATTGGGGAAAAATTAATGTCAAGTGGCTTTCCGTTTCCAACATGAAAGAGTTTCATTACACTCTGTTTTTAATCATGTAATTTCGGCAACACTTCATCAGGCAAATTCATCGGATGGCTTTCCAAACTCGAAATGTGTTGTCGGCCTGGAAGAAAAGAACAAGCCAAGGTCAGCTGAAGCCTGACCTTTCCCACCGAGCAGGTCATGGATGTGTCTACCTACTGAGTGCCTGTGTCCTGTGTGTGTACCCAGAGTCATTTAGAAGAGGAGTCAGAAGCGCAGTGCATGAACGCTGGGTCTTATCACTCATCAGGTCTCCTGGCTGTTACACATCACATTGTGCAGATAAACGAACACAAGAGCAGAGGAAAGGCTTGGCTGAGGTCAGACAGCCCGTGGCAAGGGCAAGATGGCAGCCTCCCGGGATGCTGTCCACCCGTTTGCACAAAACCTCTTAGCTCCCGCTGGGGCCCACCTGACCAAAGAGCCGCCTCACAACTCAATCAATACCTACAAATAACGAGTCGCACGGACAGCAGACCACAAAAATAGAGGGACAAGATGGGGTGATGGGTGAGATTCCCGAAGCACCAACATTCCTCAAAACACACAGAGAGTGAGCACACCACACCTTGGAGTTGAATAAAACTGGAGCGAACGCATCTTCTATAGCTAATCTGGATAAGCTGCAGGCCTCTGGAGGCAGAAGTGAAAAGAGCATTTAGTGACACAGGTAAAAAGAGATATGATGCTTGACTGTAACAGATGAATGCGGGTTTAAACTGTAGAAAGAGAAAAGGTCTTTGTTCCCGGCTCCCATTCTCCGCTGATCCAGATGGGACTGCCAAACAACGCAGGCTCCGAGAACTTCCTTTGGAAGGTTCTCTCCTTCTTCATGTCAAATGTGTTAAGATGCTCCCTTATCACATGTTAGAAACAATTGATGTACAATGTGGTGACGGCTGTATTGTGTTGCAGTTGGCTAACTGAAAGAATTTTTTAAATTTACTTAAGTATGAATATTCTGTTTTCCATATTATAGTTTTGAGTTTGTCTGTTTCTCACATCTCAAATATTTTAATAGACCCTCTGAAAGTTCTAAGCCCAAGACTCTATGTCGGCAGCGGCGAGTGGTTAAAGTGGGAATCTATAAATCTGTTGGTCATGTGATTCCACCCAGAGGGAACCATGAGAGTTGAGTTGAGGAAGGTGACCATTACGCCAGTCACCTACCTTAGTACCTCGTCTAACACGACCAGGTCAGATTTGTGTAGTACTCTATCCCTTTCCCAGATCTTTCACGTATCTTAGTTCATTTCATTTTCTTCAAAATCCTCATACATAAACACTAAATTTATTTTATTTTATTTTTTAAAAATGTTTATTGTTTTATTTATTTCTGAGAGAGAGAGCAGCAAGGGAGGGTCAGAGAGAGAGGGAGACACAGAATTGGAAGCAGCCTCCAGGCTCCAGGCTGTCAGCACAGAGCCCGACGTGGGGCTCGAACCCACGAACCGTGAGATCATGACCTGAGCCGAAGTCGGACGCTTAACAGACTGAGCCACCCAGGTGCCCCTAAATTTATTTTATTGATAAGGGAACTTTGATTGAAAGAAGTGAGCTTGTTTACTATCACGCTAGTAAGGAATTACTATATTCTGAGGAATTACTTGCATATCTTCTAAGGAATGGCCTGAACACCCCAATACCTGTGCACCTTGGACCATGACTCCCCTTCTTTGTTGACAACCAACTCCCGAGTTTTCTACTTCCTCATTGGGAAGGGGAAGCGTGGAGCCCTAGCTGCTGTTTGTGGAATGCCATTATGTCCAATAAAATAGAGCCCATAAGAAAGATCTCAGCTGTCATTAACACATATTTCTCTTTGGTCTGATTTTCTCTAGGGTGAGCACCAGAATGGTTGGCATTGTGGGTAGGGTAGGAATCTGGAATCAAGATCTGAGCCTTTTGGCTGAGGCTGTATTGGAGGGGGAAGCCTAAGGGAGAGATGTCATACCACTTGAGGTAGCCACAGGTCTGCTACGCGATTAAGGAAGATCTCTAACATAAGCCAAAAGCACCCTTTTCTGGATGGCGTTTTCCACATGCCACAATGGCAATGGTTAGAAGCACAACTCAACAGTCTGAACCAAGACCTGAACCGCAGGAAGAAGGAAGCAGTTTGAGAGTGCTGATTAAGAGAGGATTTGAGGCAATCAACCTGTCTTGGGTAATGGCTAGGCTAACTCCTGAAAATGTAAGGCTGTGACAATGCCCTGGCGCATAACAACCACCAACACATGCCTGTGGAATGAAGCACTTAATCACAGGGCCTTCTCCTGTCCATCAGTCCTGCTTCCAGATTCCAGTATGACCCACTGATGCTGGGAAAGTATTTGTGAGACAGCTGTATTCCGGAACACACCATTGAGTTGTTTGTGTGTGTGTGTGTTTGTTTGTTTGTTTAACTGAAGGCCTCAGGGGCCTCTCACGGGGTGATTGGGACCTTTCTGATGGGCTCTATTTTACTGGACAAAATGGCATATCACCGGGAAGGGCTGGGCCCCTTGCTTCCAGGATAAGTGGGATCAGCTAGTTGGAGTGAGTCATCACTGGCTGGAGTTCACTAGGTCCAACTTGCTCATTTGAATGGAATAAGTCCAAATGTCTTTCTCAAGGTGACAGACCCAGACTCTGAACTCTAATGCCCACACCTACAAGCTCAGAAGCACATTAGCCCGGGCACCCACGTTTTCTGTACCCAGGCTTTGTGCAGCCTTGTTCTGCTTCCTCTTCCATGGTTGGCATGACATCGGGGAAAGGCCTCCACCCCTACGGAGAAGCTGAAAGTCTGGGAAATGACCATGACGGCCGGGGTTCCCAACGTTTGCACAAGCGTGATGCCGATGATAGAAACACAGGGTGGGCAAGGACGGGCCACCCCTGTTGGCTGCTCTGTTCCTGGGGTCCTGGGGTGATCCGTGGGGAGGCATAACTGCATGGGAGGAGACTCTTCATATTCCCACTCCCCTGTTGGCTTGGCTAAGCCTCGCCAGCGATTCAGAAACTCTTCCTTCACGTCCTCCGCCCTTGGCCAGTTTGCAGTCTGTGTGGTTTGTCAGACAGAAGGCCAGCGGGGAGGTTATCCGCATCGTGGCTGATTGTTCGAATGTGCCCTTTCCCACTCCTGATACCCCAGTGGCCCTGGAGGACAGGGAGTGCTTAATCTCTTGCAGACACCACGGTCTCCTTCGCGGTGCTGGGCAGGGAGTAAAAACTCAGTAAATATGTGTTTACTTGGAGCCACTCTGCCTGAGAGTCCAGAGACAGGCTCAAGGAAGATGAGTCATAGCTGAAGGTTTCACAATTACTCCAATCAGAGGTTCCTTTGAAAACATTCCTCAAGTTCTCCTTTGAAGGCCATTTGATTATATATATTTTTAATGTCTTTATTTCTTTTTTATTTTAAGAGACAGAGTGCGAGTGGGGGAGGGGCAGAGCGAGAGGGAGACACAGAATCCGAAGCAGCTCCAGGCTCTGAGCTGTCAGCATGAGCCGGATGCAGGGCATGAACCCACAGACTGTGAGATCATGACCTGAGCCGAAGTCGGAGACTCAACCGACTGAGCCCCCAGGCGCCCCCCATCGGATTATATTAATGGTGCTAATCCTGTGTAGTGGGACCGCGTCACTCCCACACGTGACACAGCATAACTTACAGGAGGCACCGTTCTTTCAAAAGCTCCGAGGTTTCAGAGGAAACCAAATACTCGTCCCTTCTTGCTTTTCGCTCACACCGTCCTCCCTTCACCCTGCAAATGAGGGCGCAGGGTTTCTGAGACAAGGAGGAGGAGTTGTCTTTACACGTCCCCCCCCCCCCCCCCCCCCCCCGCCCCATGACTTCTCACTGCGCTTGGAATAAAATCAAACACCCTTCGTACACCCTTCCTATGTTCCTGCTTACTTCTCCAATCTCACTTCCTGATTCTCTCCTTCCCCCGCATAGTCCAGCCACAGGATTTACCTTTTTAAAAAATACTTACTTATTTCTGAGAGACAGAGAGATAGACTGTGAACAGGGGAGGGGCAGAGACAGGGAGACACAGAATCAGAAGCAGCCCCAGGCTCTGAGCTGTCAGCACAGAGCCCCATGCGGGGCTCGAACCCACGAACCGTGTGATCGTGATCTGAGCCGAAGTCGGACGCTTCACCGACTGAGCCACCCAGGCGCCCCAAGGATTTATCTTAGTTTCTTAAACACATGGGTCTCTTCGAAGAAGTCTCCCCTGCCTGGAAAGTTTTTCCAGGATGGATTCCGCAGCCCTCAGGTCTGGTTTTGAATGTGACCTCCTTCCTTGACCACAGTAATATAACAGGTTTGCCCCTCACCCTTCATCACTTTTGTATTATCTATATTTTATCCTTGAAGCACTTACTTGGATTTGGAATTAAATATTTTGTTGGCTCTTCATCTGCCTCAGTAGCCTGGAAACCTCGGAGAATATAGGCCACGTTAATTTTGTTTCTGACTGTGTCTCTAACACCTAGCACAGAGCCTGACTCCAGGGAGGACCTCAATAGACACTTGTTGAATGAACAAATGAACAAATACTTTAAAAGAAATTTATCCCGGGGCGCCTGGGTGGCTTAGTCGGTTAAGCGACCGACTTTCACTTAGGTCATGATCTCGCAATTCGTGGGTTCGAGCCCCGCGTCGGGCTCTGTGCTGACTGCCAGCTCAGAGCCTGGAGCCTGTTTCAGAGTCTGTGTCTCCCTCTCTCTCTGGCCCTCCCCTGCTCACGCTGTCTCTCTCTCTCTCCTAGAAATAAATAAAACATTTAAAAAAATTATAAAAGAAATTTATCCCTTGCTTTCTGGCTCTCCTTCCTATTTTTTCACCTCAGATCCCTCCTGGATGCTAAGAATTATTTGTTTTCCACTCAGAGGGCCCTAAAAACCTCAAGGGATAAGGAAAAGTTAGGTTGGGGGAGGGGGAGGGAGTTAATTAATTCCTATCAGCAGAATAAGGTATGAAATGCACCATGAATTAAGAAAATGTACAGAATACAGATCGGGAGCCATAATGAATTCAAGAGCCCAGTTTCCGGGACAGAAATATGTCCTTACAATCTAAAGAAACTGCTCATTTTAGAGCTGCCCAGGTCTTAGGAGGTGACAGATTGTAACTTCTATCAAATGTAAGCCACATGCTTCCGAAAGTGAAAACTGTTTCCTTCTCTGCTCCCAGAACGCTCTGTTCTCCAAGCGTAAAGGGGTTTTTTCCCCACACCAAGCAACTCTCCCAGAGCAGCTGGGTGCCTTACAATGTAGCTCGATTCTGACACTATTTACCCAGAGGCAGCATCAGATCCCACAGGTGAAGGGCTCATTCCCACAGAACTCTCCCACTTCAGATGCCAGTCTCAGGTCCCACGTTATCACCTGGACTCTGAATGCCCAGCTATAAACTTGGAGGTTCCCATAACCTCCCACCCCAAGTTTGATAATTTGTTACAATGGCTGACAGATCTCAAAAAAATAAAAAAAAAAAGAAGAAGAAGAAGAAAAGAAAAAAATCCAGTTTACAATGACTCATTGCAAAGGATATCGAAAGATGCAAACGCACAGCCATATGAAGAGGTAGACAGGGTGAAGTCCAGAAGGTTCCCTAACTCAGGAGCTTCTATCCTCATGGACTTTGGCTCTGCCATCTTTCTCATGATGTCTTCTTGCTCACCAATATGGAAGCTCCCTGAATCCTGTACTTAGGGACTTTTGTGGAGGCTTCATTACATCGGCAAGATTGATAAAGTCATTGGACCCTATTGATTGGTCTAACCTCCAGCCCCTGTCTTCTCTGCACAGGTAGAGGGGGCGGGGAGCTGAAAATCCCACCACTCTGGTCACACAGTTGCTTCTCCCCATATCTAGGGGCTTCCTAAAACTCACCTCAATAACAAACTCCTGTATGGTTGAAAGGGGTTGCTGTGAACAACAGAAGACTCTGTTTCTACCTTAATCTCTCCTACCACTTAGGAAATTGCAAGGGCTCCCTGCCAGAAAAGGGACAAAGACCAAATAAATATTTCCTATTTTAAATCACAATGTCATGGCCACTCCAAGACTGATAATGCATTGTGTCATTTTTAAAAGACGACTTAGGATCTAGCAGAAGGGATCTGAGTGCCTCAGATGATGCAGACCAGGAACTGCCTTCTCCACACTCCTCAGTCTATCTGCAGGTCCCTGGGAGGTTGAGCCCAAAGATGCCAGGCAGCCCTCCTGGGATTCACCGGCTGCTGTTATGGCCTTACTTAGATGGCACAATTAGGGAGATTTACCCTTACTTCTAATGTAATTTTCCATGGGATTCAAATTCTAGGTGTCCTGGAACCAAATGTCCTCAGTAGACCTCAGAGGCTCAGCTCAGCGCGTGTGGACAGAAGAAAGCTGGCTCACCACAGCTTCTCCCCGAGGGCTTTGTTTTCATTAGTGTCAGGCACAACTGTCTGCCGCGCCATCACTAGGGCTCTGTGGTTCCCAGTGGTGCTGGGGGAATGTGCAGGCAACCTGCTGTCCCATCGTTGGCTGGCGGTCTATTTCTTCCATATGCAGAGTTATTGCAGATAAGATTGATAAATAGCTAGATTCTTCATTCATCTCTTCATCCCTCTCATACTAACTCTGCAATCTGGGGAAAGTTATCCTCTGGATGGCTCTGTCTCCTCATCTGTAAAATGAGGATATTAGTATCTGCATCTAGAAGTAACTAATGAGCGAACTATTATAGGAAAAACATGTAGAAATGCTTAATAACAATTAGTGCTCAATAGATGGTAGTTGAGATGACTAATATTACTGTATCATATTTTACAGTTAGGTCCTGGAAAAGCAGGAATTGACGTATTCCTGTGTCCCAGGAGCCAGTACAGTGCATACTGTCTGCACTGTTCAAATGCCGTTTGTCACTTGGTCGCTTGCTCTGATTTCCAGGGTGCAAATCATCTAACCCCAACTGAGCTGTTGTTTCTGCAATCATAAGATATCTCATTCAGGGGGCTCCTGGTTGGCTCAGTTGGTTGGGCATCCAACTTCGGCTCAAGTCATGATCCCGCGATCAGTGGGTTCGAGCCCTCTGTCAGGTTCTGTGCTGACAGCTCAGAACCTGGAGCCTCTTTCGGATTCTATGTCTCCCTCTCTCTCTGTCCTTCCCCATTTGCACTCTGTCTCTCTGTCTCTCTCTCTCGAAAGTAAATAAACATTTTCTTAAAAAAGGTATCTTATTCGCTTTTGTATGCCCCACACCGTCTGGCTCAGGTCAGGTGCTTGGTAAATCTTCACAGACTTAAACTGTTGCATCTCTTAATCCTGATAACAAGGAAATCATACGGTTATGAGTAGGAGTATCTGGCATGCATGGATTTACACACCAGTGATGTCATAATTTAGCAGAGGGAGGAGATGTCAAACCAGCAGAGCACTGTGACTCGGGCTGACAGGCGAGAAGGCACTGGGCATGCCTACCTAAAGGCTGGACTACCTACCAGACTGCATGTTCTTTGGGGGCAAACACCATGTTTCCTTATTTCTCGGGCCCCTCGCATGGTGCCTGCCATGTGCCATGTGCTCAGTAAATGTCAGCTAAGTGATGAATTTATTCACATTCGAAACTCCAACTTAGGAAGCTCCTATTGCTCTCCAGCGGCTGGTACCTTCTCAGCACGGCACCTGCTCCCGCGCGGAGCCCCGCCCACTGCAGGCCCCTGCTCCTGCGCACAGAGCCCCGCCCACTGCACGGCCCCTGCTCCTGCGCACAGAGCCCCGCCCACTGCAGGCCCCTCCTCCTGCGCGGAGCCCCGCCCACTGCAGGCCCCTCCTCCTGCGCACGGAGCCCCGCCCACTGCATCCCACACCAACGCCTACCAGGGATTCTCCACCCCGGGATAGTCTCACCTCTGTTTTGACTTGGCAAGATGAGGGTCACACTTGGAGATCACGTTTGTGCAAAAATAGCCAGGAATAGTTAACACGTGGCTGGAGTCTCTTCTTGGTGTGCAGGAAGTGTGGACAAAAATTTCTGCCTCCTGTCGGATGTGAGAAAACCTTCTCTGCTGTCCCTTGGGTGTCTTCTCTTTTTGAACTGGCTCAACCTTAGGAAGTAGGTTTCCCACCAGTACCAGCTCTTTGGAGAGGATGAGCAGAGAAGACTCCCTGAGAGTCTTCCAGAACTACCAGTCAAACATGGCTGCTTCCTTTCCCATCACATGTTAGAAGAGAAGGTGCTTTTTGTTTTGACTTGCCCGACCAACCTCAGCTTCCCCTTTCCAAACAGAGGCTATGTAAGATGCCAGCAAGGGGTAGGAGATCTAACCACTGGGGCCCTACAGCGTAAGGATGTTTATTACTTTGCATCATATACAGTTTGGAGGTAGGAGAGTTTTGGAGTGGGTTAATTCACTGACACAGAAACATCATGCTTCTAGATTAGCGACTCTGCAGCTTTCTTCCACAGTCCCAAGATCTGCTGTAGTCAGGCCTCATGTGCCAAAAACCATCCTCAGAAAGAGAAAAGAGAAGGCCCCCGTCTTGTGTCACTCCATCGGTTGTCCCCTATGTCCCACTGGCCAGAATCGGCACGGTCTATCCATGCTTCGACAATCCCGAGGTGAGGTGAGCCCACCGCAATCGGCCTAGACCGATGAAGACTCAGCCTCTGAGGGTGGGTAGGGTCCAAGTACCTATAAAGGAACACAACCCCTCCGAGGAGGGCAGCCAAGATTAGGATTCTGTTAGCAAGGTGGAAAGAGGGAAATAGCTCCCTGATAGGCGACCAACAGTGTCTGCAGCAGACCAAATTGCCCCATTGACCTCTAAGGAGAGAATGAATAAAATTATGCTAATTTTATTCTTGGGGAAATCAAACTACTCTAAGACAAGGATTTTGTTTACTCAGAGCTACAATCTGATTAAAGATATAAAGCCTTTTCAAAACCATTAACTCAGAATGGCCCAGCCCTCATTATCCACGTGGGCTGAAGCAGTAGCAAGACTCCACCAAAAGTTTCTTGTACGCAAAATATTAAAGTAGCCTCAGCAGTGCAAAGAACGCAAAGTCTTCTTGCCGTGCTGAGTCACCTGGTTTGATGGTACACACATCCTGATTCCAGATGAATGTCAGGACTGAGATGGTGATATGTGGCCCCAATTTCACCCTCTGTTACAAGACTGACCAAGGCCTCTCTCCGGAGGATATAATACTCTTTTCATAAGCAATAAACACAATTCACAACTTTATTGGAGGCCCTCCTGGGGGCTTTATAAACGTTCTTTTGGAAAAGCTTGACGTTTTTTCATCTTTATGAAAACAAATAGTACGTTTATGAAAAGAAGAGGTCAAGAAACCATTTGATCCTGAAGACATGCCTAAGTCTTCCTCCCTAAAATTTGTATTAAGTATAAAATGTGATGCTCAAGTTGCCTTTTCACTGATAGCTCGTTATTCACTCACTTAACTTCAGGCTGGCCAGTCCCTCTCTTGGTCATACGCACGCTGGAATCTGGCAGGTCCCCGGTGCCGACAGCTCAGGTTTCCATCTTGTTATTTTCAGAAGGGATGAAAGGGAGCACAGGGCACAACCTCTGGGAGCCTTCTCTGGGTTCTCCACCCCCTCCCTCTCTGGGAAGTCCTCCCCACTGAGTCCCCTTTTACGCAAGCCACTGGACCTTCCACCCATGACCCACGCCACCCAATGCTCAGATTCCTCAGCGGTGAACAACCTATAGTGTCTGTGTCGCGAAACGACTTCCTTCTCTGACTCTACTTCTTTCTTTCCACAGAGGGCTTGGTGTACTTGGGGCTCGGGCCACAGAAGAAAATTTCCTCTGGAAGGGTTTGAAGAAGAAGTGAGCCATGGAGCTGGAGAATTCAGTTACACAGAAAACTCCCCTGAGAAGGGGGGTGGCCAGTTAACTGAAGGATAGTCATCTGTGCTGCGCCTTGTCTGAGAGAATGAGTTGGCTGGAAGCAGAGGAATGAAGCAAGTAAAATTTCAGGAGGACTGAGTTTCCGATGTTCCTGCCAGACAAGATTATATGTCCTAGGGCAGGTGTCCTTCCCCTGTGGCCTGTGGTGTCAGCTGTGTGTGGCTTTTTTTTTTTTCCCCCAAGGAAGAGAAGTGGAAATACCAATCCACAGTTAGGAATTGAGATGAAGAGGAGAGAAAGGAGAGAGTGTCTAAACACCAAGCAGACTACTGAGGTTAAAATTCTTGCCCCACCACCTACTAACTACATGGCCTGACCTCGTTTATAGATCTAAGCCAGCATCCACTTATCTCCAGAATGGGAATAATAGTAGCTGCCTCACCAGACCGGTGGGTAATCAAGGTAGCAGAATATCAGCCATGTAAGGACAGGAGCCGCAGAAACGACCGCAGAGCAGTGCGAGTTGTTATTAATAAAATGAAGAAGCCAGCCGAAGAATGCAGCATTGTGGGAGCTGTGACGCAAGGCCTAGCCCCGCATCTCTAAGTGGCAGAGGAGGAAGTAGAGACGCCAGTGAGGAAGCGGTCCCTCCGGGGTAGAGGCTACCGTTGGACAAGACCTGGTGATGGAGGGGGCGGGGAGCAGAAACAACCCCCTAGGACTGGAGTTCCCCCTCTAGCTCGGCTGGGCCAGCTTCATTAAAAAAAAAGTGAGCTCGGGGCGCCTGGGTGGCTTAGTCGGTTGAGCGTCCGACTTTCGCTTGGGTCATGACCTCGCGGTTCGTGGGTTCGAGCCCCGCGTCGGGCCCTGTGCTGACTGCCAGCTCGGAGCCTGGAGCCTGTTTCAGTCTGTGTCTCCCTCTCTCTCTGACCCTCCCCTGCTCACGCTGTCTCTCTCTCTCTCCTAGAAATAAATACAACATTAAAAAAAAAAGTGAGCTCATGCTTTTCCCCGCCAGAAGCAGTCAAGTTACTTCATCCCAGAAGCAATGTTTCCCAGGAACGACAACAAAGCCACCTCAGACACGCCCGGGACAGCAGCCGAGGTCACAGCTCCGCCAGAGCCGCCCGTTGTGAACAGCAGATGGGAAAATAGCAGCCCCCCCCACCCCCCCACCCCCCGCCCCGAGTCAGGCCAACAGCCCTTCCAGCTAAGAGAGAGCTTCCAGAGCGATGCTTGGTGGCCAGCCCAGTGTCAGTGGTGCGGCTGGTGCTTCTCAGACTGAAAAACTGGGCTTAGCCAGGAGGTTTCTACTCTTATCTAAGAGAGAAGAGTGCCAGAAAAGTCAAGGATTTTTTTCCTCCACCAACAAAATACTCACACAGGCCCCAGTGTCTATAAAAGTTAGCCATCAGGGGCCCTGGGTGGCTCAGTCAGGTAACAGTCTGACTTCGGCTCAGGCCATGATCTCGCGATTTGCGGGTTTGAGCCCTGCATCAGGTTCTGTGCTGACAGCTCAGAGCCTGGAGCCTGCATCGGATTCTGTGTCTCCCCCTCGCTCTCTGCCCCTCCCCCACTCGTACTCTGTCTCTCTCTGTTTATTAGTTTATTTATTATAATCTATTAAAAAAGAAAAAAGCTAGCCATCAGGGAAGAAATGGTAATTCCAAAAAGGGTTATAGTGAAATCATTTACTATTAGGGAGAAATATTCAAATTTGAACCTCATTGTAAATTCTGTATAGAAACATTTTCTAGATGGAGTCAGGATTTTGTGTTTATAAAAAGAAAGAACGAGAGGGAGCAGCAGCAGCAGTAGCATAAACAAGCTAGAAGAAAAGGGAAGTGTGCTTTTAACTTTTATTGGGGTAGAGTGGCAACATTAAAGTATGGTCACGGTAATACGGTAGAGCCCATGAAACCGACTTGAATCTGGGCAGGCTGGAAACTGCTTTGGCCACTGGAGCAGTTGACATCCAAGGCCGTGTCATAAAAGGCTTTATTGCTTCTGCTTTGTTTGCCGGAGCACTTACTTTCAGAGCCCTGAGCTGCCATGTAAGAATTCTGACTACCCCTGAGCCGCACGTTTGGGCAGGCCACACGGAAACATTTAGGCAACCGTCCCTGCTCAGGCCAGCCCTCTGGCCATCGCGCAAGGCTCCAGACATGTGGGTGAGGCCATCTTGGATTCTCTCAATCAGCCAGCAAGTGAACAGTGCATGACTTCTGTCAACATCAGGTGGGGCAGGAAAATCTCCAGCTGAGCCTGCCCAATTCCTGTCCTACAAAAGTTATAAAATGGAAGATGTTTGTTGTTTGAAGCCGTTAAATTTTGAGGTCGTTTGTTACTCAGCAGTAGATAAATAGAAACAACAGAGAAGAACTTTCTGAGCACAAAAGCTTGCTAGGAATCAAAATGAAAGAATAACAGACTTGCTGGGGTGCGAGGGTGACTCAGTTGGCTAAGCATCTGACTCTTGATTTCAGCTCAGTTCATGATCCCAGGGTCATGAGATCGAGCCCAACATCGAGCTCCGTGCTGAGTGTGGAGCCTGCTTAAGATTCTGTCTCGGAAAACATACTTGGTTATGATGATGTTCTGTTAAGGGTGGTGTCACCTGTAGGTTTTTCATAGATGCCGTTTTATCAGGGTGAAGTAGCTCCTTTCTATTCCTAGTCTGTTGAAGACTTTTTAAAATAAAAAATGGGTATGGGATTTTTAAAAGTGGTTTCCTGTATCTATTGAGAAGTCACAAGTACTGTGAAGTACACAAGTACTGTGATTTCAGTACTTTCCATTTTCTGGTATTTTATTAAAGATTCCTGTGACTATATTCCTGGGTTACACTGATCTGTAATTTTACTTACCTGCGGTGTCTATGCATGGTTTTGGGATCACAGTATAATTTATGCATAGAATTAAGTGAAAAGCAGTCCACTATTTTTTGGAAATGTTCAGGAGTACTGAGTATTGGTTCCTCATTAAATATATGTTATAGTTGATCTAAGACGTCTGGGCCTGCGCTTTACATTGTAGAAATAACGTTATTTAAACACATAATTAATAATAATAATTTCTTTGTTACAAAAATAACACTGCCCTTCTCCCCTGCTTGTGTTCTCTCTTCTCTCTAAAACAAAATACAAATAAATTAAATAAATTAAACAAACAAAAAACAGACTTGAAATTGTAATTATCATCACATACAAATTTAAAGTGCACCATTGTGCACTAGAAAAATATCCTTGGAACACATGTGACAGCAAACCAGTAAGAGGAAAAATTACAATAGAAAAAATGGCAAATAACAGAAAGCAGTTACCAGAAAAAATTAAAAAGTCACCAAGGAGCTGTTTAACACCTTCAGGAATAAAATACATGCAAATTAGATGACAAGAGAACTTTTGGCTTTCAAATTTGCAAAGATTTTTGAAATGATAATACTCGGTGCCTGTAAGGCTGTAGTGAGGCAAGAATTTTCTAATCCTGGAGGTGGAAATATAAATTGGGAGTCTTTCGGGAGAACAAGCTGATGACACAAAAGCGTTTGTACCCTTTGCTCAAGTATTGCCATTTCTAGTAATCAGGAGGGTGTTATGGCCACACATTCTCATCACGGCACTTTTTCTTATAGTGAGAAATTATAAACAATAAAACATTCCACGATGGGAGAACGGTGGCTAAGTTTCAAACAACTGAACACAACAGAGTTATCAAAAGCGTGGCTTCCAAATTATTCGGTGACAAGGGAAGGGAGTGAAAAATAGTTAAAAGTATACAAGGGAATAACCACTCTTTCATTTATATGGATGGACGGACAGACAGACTAAAAGACTCGATGGCAACACACCCAAATATTAACAGCCATTTCTGAATAAAAGGTTTGGGGGTGGGTGTTATTTCATTCTTTCTCCTTGTCTGAGTTTTCCTATTTTTTCAACTTGAAACTGTATTAATTTTATAATCAGAAAAACATTCTTCTTTTAAGTTGGCAACTAAAGAGAAAATTCCAGGGACGCCTGGGTGGCTCAGTTGGTTGAGCGTCCGATTTCGGCTCAGGTCATGATCTCGCGGTTCATGGGTTTGAGCCCCGCGCTGGGCTCTGTGCTGACAGCTCAGAGCCTGGAGCTGCTTCAGATTCTGTGTGTCCCTCTCTCTTTGCCCCTCCCCTGCTCACGCTCTGTCTCTGTCTGTCTCTCAAAAATAAATAAATCTTTTAAAAAAATAATAAATAAATAGAAAATTCCAAAGCAGTAGCTATAGGAAGCTTGAACACAGGGACTTTCAAGTACTGAGAGGTCTTCTGAAGCCAGGGGCTCTCCTTCCCGAGACCTGACTGGGTCCGAGTTTTAGAGCTGCCTGACATCTCAGCCTACCCTTTCCCCAGGGTCTCCAACCTGCAAAATTATCTTTCTATCACCCTCCCTTTGCCCATCATACCTCACCACCACAGGCAACCGCGCAAGTAAACATTTCTCTCTTTTTTAAAAGTTTTTCTAATGTTTATTTATTTTTGATACAGAGAGAGACAGAGTGTGAGCAGGGGAGGGGCAGGGAAAGAGAGAGAGACACAGAACCGGAAGTAGACTCCAGGCTCTGAGCTGTCAGCACAGAGCCCGACGCGGGGCTTGAACTCACAAACTGTGAGATCATGACCTGAGCTGAAGCCGGACACTTAACTGACTGAGCCACCCAGGCGCCCCTCAC